TTTGAGGTGAGTCACTTGTAAGCAGCATAGATATGGGTCCTGCTTTTTTATCCATTCTATTACTCTGTGTCTTTTGATTAGTGCATTCAGTTCATTTACATTTAGGGTGGTTATCAATAGATACGTACTTATTGCCATTGTGGGGTTTGGATTCGTGGTTACCAAAGGTTCGAGGGTAGCTTCTTTACTATCTAACCGTCTAACTTCAACTCACTTATTACGCTATTATAAACACAGTCTGATGATTCCTTATTTCTCTCCCTTTTTATTCTTCCTCCTCCACTCTTTATATGTTAGGTGTTTTTTTTATGTACTCTTTTGTGTTTCCCTTGACCCTTTTGTGGAAAGCTGATTTTATTTTTTGCCTTTAGTTAGTATTTGGTTGGTCTGCTTTCTTTGCTGTGATTTTATTTTCTCTGGTGACATCTATTCAGTCTTAGGGTACTTCCATCTAGAGCAGTCCCTTTAAAATACCCTGTAGAGGTGGTTTGTGGGAGGCAAATTCCCTCAACTTTTGCTTATCTGGAAATTGTTTAGTCCTTCCTTCAAATTTAAATGATAATCTTGATGGATAAAGTATTTTTGGTTTGAGGCCCTTCTGTTTCATTGCATTGAATATATCATGCCATTCTCTTTTAGCCAATAAGGTTTCTGTTAAGAAATCTGATGATAGGCTGATGTGTTTTCCTTTGTAAGTGAACTTTTTTCTCTCTCTGTCTGCTTTTAATTCCCTGTCCTTGTCCTTGATCTTTGCCATTTTAATTATTATATGTCTTGGTGTTTTCCTCCTTGGGTCTCTTCTGTTGGGAGATCTGTGGGTTCCTGTGGTCTGAGGGAGTATTTCCTTCTCCAGCTTGAGGAATTTTTCAGCAATTATTTCTTCAAAGATATTTTCTATCCCTTTTTCTCTCTCTTCTTCATCTGGTACCACTATTATGTGAGCATTGTTCTGTTTGGATTGGTCACACAGTTCTCTTGATATTCTTTCATTCCTGGAGATCCTTTTATCTTTCTCTGCCTCAGCTTCTTTGTGTTCCTATTCTCTGATTTCTATTCCATTAACAGTCTCTTGCACCTCATCCAGTCTGTTCTTAAGGCCTTACAGAGATTGTTTCATTTCTGTTATCTCCCTCTGGACTTCATTCCTTAGCTCTTGCATATTTCTCTGCAGCTCCATCTGCATGGTTATGACTTTTATTTTGAATTCTTTTTCAGGAAGATTGGTTATATATATCTCACCAGGCCCTCTCTCTGGCATTGTTTGAGTGATTTTGGACTGCAGCAGATTCTTCTGCCTTTTCATGGTGATAGAAGTCTTCCCCGGCAATTGGCGCATGTGTCAGCTGGGAGAACAAAGTCGCTCCCTGCTTATTGGTCACCTTGCCCTTATCCACTGCCTGTGCCAGTTACCCACACACAGGGAGCAGTCTCTGGGTTAATTCCGAGCTTCCATGGGCAAGACAGCCCTTGAGATAGCCTAAACCCTGCTGGGGTTCACAGGTGCGCAGCGTGTGTTCTGTGAGAATGGGGTCCCTTTGTGCTTGCTGGTCTTTGTGCTGGCTTCCTCAGTCTGTGCTGGGCAGTTGCATGCTGGTGGCAGCCTCTGGGTCTGGCCCTGTTAGCTGCACACTGGGAGAAGACTCTGTGTGGTTGCTGTGGGCAGGGCTGCTCCCCGAATGTTCCACAGCAATGGCAGGTCTGCCACTTTGGTTGCAGTGCTAGTGGGGGTAATGAATGGCAGGCTGCTTATCGCCATGAGAGGCTTCGGAGCTGTGTTGCCCCCCCAGGAGGTTAGGGCGCCTTAAGTTCCTTAAGATTCCCAGCCTGCTGGGCTGAGTGTACCAGAAAGATTTTGTCCACCTGTTATACACATGTCCCTTTAAGACTTTTAAAAAGCACCCTCTTTTAATTTGTCCCAGGGGAGCCATCTGTGGGGACCCACTCACAGTCTCCATTTCAGATTTTACTTTTCTGTTTCTCAAATATCCAGTACACCATGCAATGTGTGTCTGTGCTCCTGGTGCAGATTACTAGGGCTGGTTATTTAGCAGTCCTGTGCTTCTACTCCCTCCCCACTATGATTCTTTTCCTCCTTCCAGTGAGCTGGGGTAGGGGGATTGCTTGGGTCCCGCCAGGTCACAGCTTTGCATCTTACCCTTTGCAAGGGATGCTGAGTTCTCAGAGATGTAGATGTAGCCTGGCCATTGTACTGTATCTTCTGGTCTCTCTTTTAGGAATAGTTGTATTTGCTATATTTTCAAAATATATATGGTTTTGGGAGAAGATTTCCACCACCTTCCTCACACTGCTATCTTGAGCACCTTGGGCTTGTCACAAATTTTATAGGCATTTTTCCCACCACTGATATTTCTAATAACAGGTTCTGCTGGTTTGTATGGCCCAGTGCAAGTCTTCTTGCACCACAGCCTAGACCTGCTTCAGAATCCATTTCTACCCTGTACCTCAGCCAAAACTGGCTGTCTTTTGTGTCAGCTGGTATATGGGCCAGAGCGATATTCCCAGTTGTAAGACATGCTGCCTCTAGAAGCCAAGGAAGACTACAAATTGCTGTTCTTCCTTCTTCAAATTATTGTAGAATGTTTCAAATTACTGCAAAATGAAATAGTTTGTCCTTTAACTTGAAAGGGATGTCTGGCATTTCCTAGATCACTAGACACCTACACATCTTCATGAAGTAGAAGGCTCCTGAAACTTCACAGGGTTTATCTCTAACCCTGTAAAGTACATGACTTTTACTAAGGCCTCCAAAGTATTACCTACTTCTTGATCATCTGGTTCAGTTAGCATGATGTCAGCAATATAGTAGACCAGTGTCATTTTCTCCAAGATGTCAATGCAATCCAGGTCTCTTTACACAAGATTATGACAGAAGGTTGGAAAATTAATGTATTTCTGAAGCAAGACCATAAATATATGTGGTTGTTCATTCCAAGTGAATGCAAACTATTTCTGATTCTCTTTCTGATACAAATGGAAAAGAACGTGTTCACCAGATCTATATACAAGGTACCCAAGGACATGTTAACCTGATTTATTGAGCAAAGATACCATTTATAGCACAGCAGCTATAACTGAGGCTTCTACTTGGTTGAGTTTATGCTCTAGTATCATCCACCAGGAACTGCCTGGTTTTTGCAGAAGCCAGATTGATGAATTAAATAGAGATATGATAGGGTATATGATGTGTTCTCTAAATCTTTAAGGGTGGTACTGATTTCTGTTATCTTCCCATGGATAAGGTATTGATTCTTATTTACTGTTTTGAAGAAGGTGGGGAAGACTGAAGTTTCAGAAGCTTCCACTTGGCCTTCTCCACTATTACAGGTCTTACCCCACAGGCAAAGGAACCAATGTGGGACTATACCAACTGCCAAATATGTCTATTCCGGGGACTAGGGAATGACCATTGGATGAGTTACACTGTGAGCTGATCCTAGGCCAGAAGTCCACTTAACACTTGGCCTCAATATGCTCCCACTCTAATAAGTAGCATTGATGATACTTCAAGTCTTTGGGTATCAATATCAACTTGTACCCCATATCCAATGGTACTTGTAATACTTGGATATTCCCCTTTCCCCAGTGTATACTTTAGTAAATGGTCATAGGTGTCTGTGGGACAAAACAGGAGACCTTATTCCCATGTAAACCTGTAATGGTGTTGCAGGGTGCTTCCTCCTGGGAACCTGGCCTGTCCTTCTGTCAGGAGTTCTGAGTCTAAAATCTGACTTGGGTCCAGAAACTAGGTGCCAGGCCTAATATTCCATCTATTCCATCATCTGTGAAATTAAATAACATGAAGCCAGTGTGGGAGGAAAACAAGGCAAGTCAAGGCAGGTGGTCCACCAATGTTTGGAAAATGGCCTGGAGGTTACTAATGAGGTACAGAGCCCAGCCCCAGTCAGGGCCTCCAGCTGTCCCAGCATAGCATCCAAGCAGTGTTGCAAGCTCAGCAATTATCCAGTGGATGCACAAAGGATTTTCATTTTGGTAGACAGCAACACAGCAATCAAGCAGAGCCATTCCACAGTCCTGTGAGGAGCCCTGTCTCATAGCTATCTCATAATGAGGGGCTCTGACAATGAGGGGCTCTGACAAGAGCTAGGCAGAGCAGCAGGGCCCAGCTAGACAACCTGAACATCAGGGCAGTACTTGAGCCTCAGAAGGAAAGAGCTTAGATGTGTAACCAGCAGACTACAAATGCCAGCCTCAAGTTAATACATGGAGTGGGTGCTCACAGCGTTCAGACTCTGGAATCCAAGTCCTTAACCTGGCACCCATATATCCAACTGGGTGGCAGCACCATATAATTCCAAGTACTGCTGAGGCTGCTAATTCATCTTTTCGAAAAACTAGGGAGACAAAGACAAGAAATCTAGCAGCAGAAATTGACAGAGGGGTTCATTAGCCTGATGAAGTGGAAACAACTGAAAAACTGAAAAAAGACTACTGCTTTTGTTCTCACTCACTCACCTTCTTTGACAGCCTCTGCATTTCTGAAGGCTTGCTCTTATGCTTGAATCCCATCTAATTCCAGGGCTAGGAAAGCAGCAATGACTATTGAAAAGCACAGGGAGATGCATTCAGGGCAAGATCTGGATGAGATAAACCATACCTCTTCTCAGTGCATCTGATTTCTAGAAAAGAAGAACAAAACATAGCAAAAAGCAAGAAAGAACTAAGAAGATAAAAACTGGCTGGGCTAGCTGCTTTTTCTCATGGTACTTTGCAGACATCATATGGTAGTATATTCCTCCCTGCATAGAGGTCATGGCAAATGTCAGATGATTGATTGTGATGTCCATATTAGAAAGCATGCAGATCTACTTACTGGCAGTACTTCTGTTCCTCTCTCTGTATCATGTTCTGAAGCAGAATCTTAAGTTCATGGCTCAATAGAAGCTGATGGGAAAACAAAGGCTTTGAAATCTTTGGGCATTCTTCTCCAGTTGATTCCATTCTTGTCCCCTTTCTTACAGGAACTGGTACATGGATGAGCCTTCCTGTGGCAGTGAGGTCTGTGTGGTTATGTACTATCAGCCGTCTGCACCTGCTGGCACTGGTGGCCCCTACATGTTCCAGTGGAATGACGACCGATGCAACGTGAAGAACAATTTCATTTGCAAATATTCCAGTGGTAATGAGTCTGCTCCCAAGTTATGTGATTGAATTCTCGACTTTCTAATTTCATAAGCAGCTGCTGGGGGAGGGCTAATTTTTGTGCAGAAGTGACTCTTCTGATTTACTAACCCAGTTTCTGGTATCTAGTAACACTGAATGCAGTTTATTGGATGACTGAATGAGCAAATAAATGGATGCTATGTTCTGGCCAATTTAATTCAGATGGTACAAATTTAGTAATCATTTTCATTTTTGTTTCTGCTAGAGAAACCAACAGCTCCTAAAAGGCCTGGAGGTAAGCCTGTTATTTGAGATTTGGGTTAATTTGGGCTGTTTCACAGCCCCTCTTCATAAGCCTAGAATCATGTTCGGTAGACCAGATTATTCAACAGAGAGACCATTGATGTTAACCTAGACCATTTGGACAGGTATATGCCATATCTGGCCTTGACAAGTAGTTCATTAATCTCACTCTCTAACAATGCTTACTTCTCTCAAAGCTGAAAAGCAACAACTGCAAATTCAGTTTGGGATATTACTTGTCATCATTGACAATATGAAAGGAATAATTCATCTAATGAGACAAGAAGCCAAAGTGATAAATTCTGGTCCAAGAAGTGAGTCATTGGCCCTTCCCCTTGGCTCTTCAGCATTTTATAGGCCTCAGTGCCAGCTACTTGCTGGTCATTTCAGTGCATGATTCTTGGCAATAAGAGTCTCACCAGAAAAATGAAAACAATTGAACCTCTAGACAAACAAATTAAACTCTTTGCTTTTCTATGTTTATACATGGCACTGGTCAGATTGCTATTGCTTTTTGGCCTCCCACCTTGAACCTGGTAGGACCTCAGAGAATATCTGGATTATGCTGCTTTTCCCCAGGGTCTCAGGTCCATGTGTCTCTCTCCAGGGGTAAAAACAGAGCCAGCAATACCCATACTTCCAGAAGACACAGAGAAAGAAGATGACAAAGAAACATTTAAAGCAAACAAAGGTATGGACAGATGTGTCCAGGGAAAAGCAGATAATGGAACACTCCCAATCACAAGTCAACTGTGGTTACATTCTGTTTTTGTTCTTTCCCATAGCCACTTAAAAGTGGAACTAGCAGGGCATTTGTGACTTTTCGGAAACTGTGTTAAGTGTTAGATTTTATCAGAGAAGTATGCAAATGGAGCTATCTTGAGACAATGGGAGAGATTAGACCAGACAGGAGGTGAAAAACTAGTGTGAAAGCAGAGCCTTGGGAGCCACCCAGAAGTCATGGCTCGGTGGGGGTGGGAGATCCTAAGGAAAATGGATGTCGAGAAGTGGGAGAAAGACCCAGGCTGTAGTGAATGACAGCATGGTTAACGTTCACTTGTGAAACAAATAGAGGAAATGGGCAAAAACATTTTAAGAGTTAAATCGTAAAATATTTTAAAAATGGGGTGATAAATTATAGTGCTAATGGACTTTCAACCTCAACTCTCACCTGGAGTTTCAAGAGGGAGATCTGGGTTTTTGTCACTGGGCAATTTTTAAAAACCAGTTCATTATCTTCAGTTTGATCATTTGCATAATGGAAGTAATAATATTTTTCTCACTTACCTGAGAGCATTATTGTGTCCATAAAATGAAATAGGATATTGCAATATTGCAATTCAATTCTGACACTAGACACTCTGCGTTAACACAGACCCCACAGGTTAAGGGCTCAGTTGGCAACAAGACCGCCCTCATGACAGACCTCAGCCACAAGCTGAAGGAGGGTCCCCAAGCCACCTGCACTTCTGATTAACTGGCTACAAATTCAGGGGGTGCCCACAACCCCCGCAGGTATGATAATTCACTAGAACAATCACAGAACTCAGGAAAACACTATACTTATGACTACATTTTATTACAAAGGACCCAGGAGCAGCCAAATGGAGAAACACATAAGGTTAGATATGGAGACCTTCCATGTCCTTGCCCTGTGGAGTCAGATGCACCACTCGCCTGGCAAGTCAGTGTGTTCACCAACCAGAAAGCTCCACTGAGCCTTGTTACACAGAGATTTTATTGAGGTTTCATTACCTAGGCATGAGTGACTTGATCATTGTTTGTATAACTGAGCTCCATCTCTAGGTCCCTTTCCTGAGACATCTCATCAGCCTAAACTCTGGTACCAACTGAGGGTCTCATGAATAAGAAAGTCACTCCTGCCTTCTCAGCAGAAACCTTACAGGCCAGAAGGGAGTGGCATGATGTATTTAATGCAATTAAGCAGGAGGGCCTGGAACCAAGATTACTTTATCTGGCAAGATTATCATTTAAATTTGAAGGAAGGATTAAACAATTTCAAGATAAGCAAAAGCTGAGAGAATTTACCTCCCACAAACCATCCCTACAGTCTATTTTGGAGGGACGACTGTAGATGGAAGTGTTCCTAAGGTTTAATAGCTGTCACCAGAGGACATAAAACCAGAGTAAAGAAAGTAGAACAGCTAATTACTAAGCAAATGCAAAAATAAATTAACTATCCCCAAAGTCAATCAAGGGATAGACAAAGAGTACAGAATATAATACTGAATATATAAAGACTGGAGGAGGAAGAAAAAAGAGGAGAAAAAGAAAAGAACCCTTAGATTGTGTTTGTAATAGCATATTAAGTGAGTTAAATTAGACTCTTAGATAGTAAAGAAGTTAACCTTGAACCTTTGGTAACCACAAATCTAAAGTCTGCAATGGCAATAAGTACATAACTATCAGTAATCACACTAAATGTAAATGGACTGAATGCATCAATCAAAAGACATAGAGTCACTGAATGGATAAAAAAACAAGACCCATCTATATGCTGCCTACAAGAGACTCACTTTAAACCCAAAGACATACATACACTAAAAGTGAAGGGATGGACATTTCATGCAACGAATAGACAGAAAAAAGCAGGAGTTGCAGTACTTGTATCAGACAAAATAGGCTTCAAAGAAAGTCAAAGAGACAAAGAAGGACATTACATAATGATCAAGGTGTCAATCCAACAAGAAGATATAACCATTATAAATATCTATGCTCCCAACACAGGAGCACTGATGTGTGTGAAACAAATACTAACAGAATTAAAAGGGGAAATAGAATGCAATGCATTCATTCTAGGAGACTTCAACATTCCACTCACTCTGAAGGAGAGATCAACCAGACAGGAAATAAGTAAGGACACAGAGGCACTGAACAACACATTAGAACAGATGGACCTAACAGACATCTACAGAACTCTACACCCAAAAGCAGCAGAATACTCATTTTTCTCAAGTGCACATGGAACATTTTCAAGAATAGATCATATACTAGGCCACAAAAAGAGCCTTGGTAAATTCAAAAAGATTGAAATTGTACCAACCAGTTTCTCAGACCACAAAGGTATGAAACTAGAAATAAATTATGCAAAGAAAATGAAAAATCCCACAAATGTATGGAGGCTTCACAACATGCTCCTCAATAACCAGTGGATCAATGAACAAATAAAAACAGAGATCAAGCAATATATGGAGACAAATAACAATAATAATTCAACACTGCAAAATCTGTGGGACTCAGCCAAGGCCATGCTAAGAGGAAAGTATATTGCAATACAGGCCTACCTCAGGAAAGAAGAACAATACCATATAAGCTGTCTAAACTCAAAATTAATGAAACTAGAAGAAGAACAACAAATGAGGCCCAAAGTCAGTAGAAGGAGGAACATAATAAAGATTAGAGCAGAAATAAATAAAATCGAGAAGAAAAAAACAATAGAAAGAATCAATGAAAGCAAGAGCTGGTTCT